ATATCTATGGGCGAAAGATCATCTTTATCAATATGTCATCTCTCTAGGCTTGATATTGTTTGGATATCTAGGCTCTGTTTTTTAAGGCAATAGTGACACAGTAGTGGGTGCCTTAATCATGTTGTGTAATTTCAATAATTTTGATCTTCTAGGTAGAAAATGGACTTTTGATGTTTGTTACAATATTGTGCATTGTTTCAGTTCCTCAACCACTGAAGGATATATAATGGTGATAAGGGAGTGGAAATGTCTGGCTGCTTGCTGATGCTGATGTTAGAATGAGTAGGATGTTGTAGGTGGAATTTTTAATGCTCCCCCCCCCCCTTCGGAAATGAGTGTAGATTTACAACTTCAGGGCTACAGGATAATTGAACCGCATAGTTAAAGTTAAGTTTGAAACCTTGAATGTTAAATATTTGTGAATTAGTTTGTAGTTCTATTAAGCATTTAAGCCTGAGAACTTGAGTAGGTTTTTAATTTTCAGCCCTGTTAAGCTTTTATCATGACAAAACCAATCTGTTCCTCATTGCATCTTTTTTTTTTTTTGGTATATATATTTATTTATTTTTATTTTTTTTTGAAAAAAATCACTTATCTTATTGCTCAAATGTGGTATATTTTTGATGAAAACTTTTCTAGAAGTCTAGAACATTGCCTTTTCTTGAATATGAACTTGGCAGTTTGTTCGTTCTCAACGTTTTCTTTGCCAAATCAATTATTGTAGTAATTTTTATATTTCTGCAGAAAATTTAAATTTGCTGATAAGATCCAAAAGTCCTTACCAGATTTTGGATGCTACCTGATTAAATAGAATGCTAAAATGGGTGATCTGTATAAAGAGATAGTGAAGATAGAGAGACTGGTGAAAATACGACCCTTTCTTTAAAAACCCTGGATTTTCTTCTGTTAACATGGAAAACCATTTTCTGTCATCGTGTTGTATCATATTCTCCTCACTCCACTGTTACTACTTTCAATATTTACACTCACCATATCTCAAGAGCCTTATTTTTTTTCCCAAATCCTTAAAAATATCCCTTTGCCATTTGGGTAAGTGACTTTACTGTTTTGTGTTCATATATAGTCATTTTTTGGTACTTTCCATTTCAGCATGAAAGTATAAATTGGTTATTATTCCTAGATGCCACTGCTCTCAACTTCCTTCGCGCCATATATCTCTGTGCCACACATCAAGCTAGCTACATTTGTGTCCTTTGTACTTTGGCTACGTAGCCTATTGGTTTTTTTGGGGTTGTTATTGTGGGATTTTTTGTTAGCTTTGGGATGAGAGATTAAGACAAGGGATAATAAACGTGTTTGTCTAGGAGTTTAGAAGTATTTTTATTCATTTTTTTAAATAATTTGAGGCCTTGCTTTAAAAATATATTTTTTTTCTGAAAATCATGGCACATTAATGGGTCATTTTTTTTTGTTGCTGAAATCTGGAATCGTGGTCTTGAAGGAAAAAATGTGACTTTATGCCTGTGACCAAGGGTGGTGTGTCTCGGGGCAAGAATCATGTTGTTAGGCTGAGTATGCTTTTCTCATCGAGTTAAGCTTTGCATTTGTAGCCTTGTAAGACTGTTTTGAGCCAATGAGCCTATTGTTATTTTTGTTTGAGTGAACTTGATTGAAATGCTGATTAGGGAGTGGGAGTATCTACCTACATGTAGGATGTCGATGATCTAGGATCTCAAAGGTTAAAATTTTATGATTGTTTGATTTGAGTGTGTAGAACACATCAGCGCAAGAAGATACTTGGTTTTTAAGTTATATTTGCTATTGGTACATGATTTAAGGGTGGTGGTACTAGGGTAGTTTATTATAAAAAAAAAGACTGATGTGTCTTAAATTTTGAGAAAGAAAGGCAAAACTTTGGGAGCCAAAAAAGTATGAAAAAGATTCTAAAGGCAAGGGTCTGTCGTGAATCTTTGTTTTGTTTATCATAGTATACGATGGGTCAGTCGGACTAGGGATTTCAACTTTCGAGTATGTCAATGTGGAGTTATGAAGCCTTCATGCTATAGGGTGGTTTGATGGATTTGTTTAATACTTGTATCCTGTTAGCAAGAGGTATTTTGGCTAAATTCATATCTCTTTGGGGTTGTAAATGTATTTCTTTTTTAATACAATTTGTTCGAAATAAGTTTTGATGGGAGTGCTAAATGGTTTGTCAATGGATATTGTTACGTATGTGCACTTACATTGATTTGAGATAAAAGAATCTTGTGATTCCAGTTTTGTACTATCTTGGTGGAAGTAATGCAAGGGAGATGTTTTAGCTTGAATTTTGCAAATTTATTGGATTTGATTAGGTTTAAATGATTGATGATTTCAAATCGTGCAAGGGCCAAGGAGAGAACTTCTACCTTATCTTTCTCAAATTAGTTGATGTGACAGGGAGTCAAATAGGTTATCGTTTTTTGAATTGCACAATGAGAGATTATTAATTATATTGGACAATGGTTCAAGAAGTTCTGATTCTTATGCTTATAGGGGATGTATAATGCATCAGATATTTGGGAAGCAGCAATATAGTAGGTTGTGGAATATGACTAGTACCTCTAGGAAGATAAGTAATTTAGAGATGAAAGGCTATAAACCACGAGATAAGTATGGGGGGACTGGGTAGATGGTGAAATGGATGAGAGTTTCTATTTTTCTTTGATTTATTTAAAACTTAGCTTTTTTGAAGGTACTGCCATTCTATGCTGGTATCATATGTAAATTCCAATTCAATGGTTTCAATAGACTATTGTTTTTCCCTAATTCTCATTTCTCATTCTCATATGTATATTTGGAATTTCCAGTCTATTACAAAATACCATTTATAATTGGTTCTAATCCCGTCTTAAGAGTAAAGGATGTCGTAACCGCCATATATTGTTTTATCTATGCCCGCTGGTTTTGTATTTGTTAAGATTTAGGAGCTCGAACCTTGTACTTTTTCTGCGGTGTTCCTCTTGCCTCTTTTAAAGAGAATGCTTTCATGCCTTTTAATCTTACAATAGCATGGATGAGCCCTTTCCCTCACAGCCTCACCTCCATAATTTTCACTCTCTTGAGTTTCTGCGTGTCTTTTATCTGCTAACTTTCCATATGCACATGCAATGAACTTTCAGCTGCCTAAATTTGTGTTCCTTTTTTAGTGGTTTGCAAAACTGACTCCATTCAGGGAGCAACATCTGCTCCATCTTTTTGTACTACTGTAGGACAAAGAGTAGTTGCATATTATATAGAATTAAAGAATAAATGGGCATACTTCTGAAAAATATAACAAACATGCATCTGGCAGCTTCCCTTAGATAGCACAGGGTATGCCAAATTGCCAAGAGCCTGTACACGTTTTTTTGGCCGTATCAAACGCCCTAATAGCAAATAGCTTGCCTTTTTCTGTGACAGATTTGTTATCTGTAGTGAGGGTGATTTGAGATAGTTGTGAAAATGATTTTGTGCCCTGTTTGTGTCATTTTATGATTGCTACTTTGTGATGGTTATAATCGCTTTCTGGATGTGCAAGGCATGAAATTGTTTAGGACCTCCATCTTCTATCATGATGAAATTATTGTTCTCCCTGATTCTTGATTGTGTTTATGTTTATTGTTAGTTCCTTATTGTTATTCAGAAATTGATTAGCAATGAGCTTCACATCAAGGTGGTTTAAGACCTCCATCTCCTATCATGATGAAATTATTATTGCTCTTTTATTCTTGATTGTGTTTATGTTTATTGATATTCAGGTTTCATCATAGCTGGTTACGATTTTTCCCAGGAACTTCTAATTGCTTAAGCAATAAGCATCGCAAGAGGATTTTGACATACGTTTTCTTTTGTGGTATAAATTTGACGTGGTGGAAGGATTCTACACTACTGGGGCTCTTTTCATTTATTTCGTTTGGTTGGAAAGGAAATTCAGCAGGGAGCTTGCTTGTATATGTAGACGAGTACTATATTTTGAATTTATAAATGTGTACTACGTAGTATTAGTAATTTAGAGTAGCCGATATTTATGTAACCTGGTACTTGGCTTCGTTTAAGCTCTTATTCGTTAACTGTGGATGGTGAAACCTCAATCAGATGGTAATAACCATCTGTTTTTACTACTACCATTGTGGCACATCTACATTTTTTATTGCATTGACTTTGTGCTGTACATTTCTTTCCCGTTTCCAGCTTTCCTGAAACGGTCTAGTTTCCCTACTGAGTTGTAGCAGTCTGATCAGTATTGTCTTGCTACCCTGAGAGTTCTTTAGCATCGACTATTGATCGATATAAACTTGATAAAGCCTTGCAATGCTGCAAGTTCTGTTTTACACTTGGATGTACCGAGTCGAGTACAAAGTACTGGGCTTTCTTTTGCTTTTGCAATTTTACACCACAGTCGGTTAATAAGGCTTCTTAATTAGAAAAGGTCTTTTTGAACTTATTTGTAAGTAAGGCCATTAATTGATTCCTGGCATAATCTCCTAATATAGTAGCATAATATGTACTTAGTTTTTATGTTGCAGCATAAATTGTTGCTTGTGCTACATGATGAACTTTTACCAGTCTTAACTCATATTGAACATTATCGTAGCATATTGAAGATAATTAGTTGATTATTCTAGCCCCTTTTTAAAAAAAAATTATTATTATTATTTTTTTAATTTTTTTTTTTAACGGTAAGAAAGACCTTATCCATGGGCCTAAGCAGTTATTAGAAAAGTCATGGATCCTCTAAGTCTCTAAATTACTTTAGATTTATTATTATTATTATTATTATTATTATTATTATTATTATTATTATTATTATTATTATTATTATTATTGTCTAATTAATAAATTTAATGATATAAATCATAGAGTGAGGTGGTATAAATTAACAAAAAATTATCTTTGGGAGTAAAAAGTACTTTCTTTCCTAAATTTAATGATGAAGAGAGGCAATAGTATTTGTTTCCTAAATCATTTAGAACAAATCATTAAGGAGTTTTCCTCCGATCCAAGTAACAACTCTTATTATAAAAACACCTTAACCTCTCACAAAAATTACAAAAACTCTAAATCTCTTAAATTTTGTTGAATTCTTGAATTTGATCATGGCAGGCTATAATAGAGCACCCAACAACACCGACAGAATCCTCCAAGAAACCGGCTCCGGTTTCGCGATAGGTGCACTAGGCAGCATCCCCTACCACTTCTTCAAGGGGGTACGTACAATGCCAAGGGGCTCCCGCATCAGTGGCAGTTTTGACTACGTCCGCATGCGTGCTCCCCGAACAGCAGGGTCTTTCGCGGTGTGGATGTCCCTCTTCAGTGCTGTTGACTGCGCTGCTGCTTACCTCCGTCATAAGGAAGACCCGTGGAACACCATCGTTGCCGGGGCTTCGGCTAGCGCAATACTCGCTCTTCGTCAAGGGACTGGCCCTGCCATGAAAGCTGCCGTCACTTCTGGGTTACTAATGGCCCTTGGAGAAGGGCTTATGCTATTCAATGAACGTGAGGGGCCAGAATTGAATAATGCTAATAAGGGACACGTTCCGGTTCCGATTCCAGTTCCAATTCCGGTTCAGGAGGAGGCTAGTTCATCATCAGGGTTTTTTCAGACATGGTTTGGTAGTGGGAAAAAGGACGACGGAAGTAGTTACATACTTGAAGGTCGATGATTTCAGTACTCCGATGTGTAATTTTTTTTATGTGGAAATTAAATTTAGTTCTTAATAATCCGAAATTTGGTTTATGAGGTTATGTAGAGGACTTTAATTTGTTTACGTATAATATGTGTGAGATTAACATATTGAAGATTATTATTAATATAAACAGCGGAAGTTATACTAATTACTCGAAGAAAAAATAGGTAATTACTCGTACTTGGAATTATTACTCGTATCTTGGACTTAAGCAATTATTACTTTATTAGAAAGGTCATGGGTCAAAACAATTATATTATGTCTTATTATATTAGTCTCGATCCCTTAATTTTAATTAGTAAACTTCGGAGTATTTAGATGATTTAAATTGTTGCCGATATTTTTTTAACGATTAAAATTTTAATATCATATAACAATTAACAAGGCAGTAAATAATTAAATAAACAAAATTTTATCCTTGGGAGTAATAAGTACTTTCACTCCTAAATTATAGGTAGCATATTATTTTCTAAATCATTTAGAACAAATCAACAAATAGTTAAGGAGTTTTCCTCTGCAGCAAGTAATAACAACTCTAACATAATAAAAAAAATTCTCTTAAATCCTTTCTCTCTCCTCTTTTCTCTCTCCAAAACTCTAGCCTCTATTGTTGAATTTTGAAGGGGCTTCTATCGATTTTAATCGGTGAAAAGCCTCAATCCTTGTTTCTTTATTGTATTTTTAGGTTTATAATAATGCTTCCTCGAAAAAAGGGTTTTTGATCTCGTTCGAAAGATAAGGGTTTTTCGACCTCCTTCGAAAGACAAGAATTATCTCCTCTTTTCAAGGTAGAAATTTCTTAGTTTTGAATCCGTGGTAGCAGATCTAATGGATTGTCGTGCAATTATTTCGTTGGTGAAAAAGTTATCAAGTTTTCGAATATGAACAGATGAATCAGAAGGAAAACATCCTCACGGCTACAAAGGATCGTTAGATTGTCTCTCCAACAAGACTGTAATTTTCAGCGATATAAGCGGGAGATGCTCCGCAGTGCAAGATCTACTCGACGAATGAAGAAAAATTCTATTTGATTCAATATCTTATGTATTTGTTAACGTCGAATCTCTATTGTAGATGTCGTATGACTTTTAATTAATGAAATATTTTTGCTATTAAAAAAAAGGTAATAACAACTCTTATTATAAACACAAAACCCTAAAAACTCTCAAATCACCTAAATTTAATCATGGCATCCTACGAAAGACCACCTAAGTACATGGACAGAATCCTCCAACAAACCGGCATGAGTTTCGCGGTAGCCGGACTAGGCAGCGTCCCCTTCCACTTGTTCAAGGGGATATCAACCATGCCAAGGGGGTCCCGCATCATTGGGGGAGTTGGCTACGTCTGCATGCATGCCCCCGAACAGCAGGATCATGGGCGGGGTGGACGACCCTCTTTACTGCTGCTGACCGCGCAGCTGCCCACCTCCGTCGTAAGGAAGACCCGTGGAACACCATCATTGCCGGGGTTTCGGCTGAAGTGGTATTCACTCTTCGTTAAGTGACTGGCCCTATCAATTTCATGATAAATGTGGCCACCACTGGGTTAATTATTGATGGCACTTGCAGAAGGGTTTTTTTTTTATTAATTATGAACGCCGTTGTTTGTCAAAAAAGTTAGATATTGCTAACAAGGAGGCGTTGGAATACGTTCCGAAAGAGGAGGCCGGTTCGTTGTCAAGATTTGAAGGTTGATGATTAGGTTAAGAGAATTATGTCATATCCTAATTTTTAAATACAATACAAGTAAGATCTTGATAATGGAATAGTTTTCAAATGACTACAATACATTGTATTTAATCAAATCACAACCGTTCAATTTATTAATTTTTTTTTTTAGAAAGTTCAATTTTATTGATTAATGTTAAGTGTTGATATGATTTTGTTTTTTTTTTAAATCCACCCTTTACTTTATTGTAGCCACTCAAAAGTCATAATTTGAGGAAATAATTTTGACATATCATATTGATTTTGGCACACCCTTACGTGAAAGCATAGTTTTTTTTTATACTACTCTCACAAGGTGTGCCAAAATCAATAAAGGGTGTGCCAAAATCAATTTCTTATAATTTGCCTATAGTTTCCAATTTTTTACAACGCTAAATCGTTAATATTTTTTTCAGATACCAAGATGTTTTGAAATCGGGAGAAAACTCTAATCACTTTAGCTAGAGATTGTCAATAGACATAAGAAATGTTAATCGTATGTGAGAAATTTCTCATAATTAGTATAATTAGTACCCAAATTAGTAAATTATTAGAGTTAATGTCAAAAATTAAACTAATGTTTTACGGACTAGAGCGGTAAAATAAATTTATGTGGCCAAAAGAAGCAAGAAATAAGACCCTCAAAACACAACATAAAATCCTAAATGCGGTGGTCACACTTACTCAACTCATTCTCTCTCCTCCGCAAACACACCATCCTCAACACTACAACACCACCACCACCTTCAACTTTCTCTCTCCTCCAAACCCACCCCATGTCAACCCAACCCAAACCCGAACCCGTTTCCCCCTCCACCACCAAAGTGGGCTGGATCGGAACCGGCGTAATGGGCCGATCCATGTGCGCCCACATCCTCAAAGCCGGTTACAAACTCACCGTCTTCAACCGAACTATCTCCAAAGCCCAACCTTTACTGGACCAAGGGGCCCACTTAGCCACCTCCCCCGCCGAAGTCGCCGCTCAATCCGACGTCGTTTTCACCATCGTCGGTTTCCCTTCCGACGTCCAATCCGTCACCTCCTCCGTTCTCTCTCTCCTGCGACCAGGTGGAATCCTCGTTGACATGACAACCTCCGACCCCTCTCTCGCCGTCGAAATCTCCTCCTCCGCCGTCGCTAAATCTTGCTTTTCCGTCGACGCTCCAGTTTCCGGCGGCGACCGTGGCGCACGCGCCGGCACTCTCTCCATCTTCGCCGGAGGCGACCCAGAAATCGTCGACTCTCTCTCTCCTCTTTTCTCTCTCATGGGGTCCACATACTACATGGGTGGGCCCGGAAAAGGGCAATCGGCGAAGTTAGCGAACCAGATTACGATTGCGTCAACAATGGTGGGATTGATCGAAGGGATGATTTACGCGCATAAAGCGAAATTGGATCTATCGTTGTTCTTGGAAGCGATATCGAAAGGCGCGGCGGGTTCGAAGAGTCTGGAATTGTATGGTGGGAGGATTTTGAAGAGGGATTTTGAAGCTGGGTTTTATGTTGATCATTTTGTCAAGGATTTAGGGATTTGTGTTAAGGAATGTGAGAAAATGGGGATTAGTTTGCCTGGGTTAGGGTTAGCTCATCAATTGTATTTGTCACTTAAGGCTTATGGGGAAGGTGGGTTGGGTACTCAAGCTCTTGTTTTGGCTCTTGAGCGGCTTAATAATGTGTTGTTGGACTCGAGTTCGGGTTTGGGGTCTGGTTCGAGTAATTAAAGAGGTTCGGGTGTAAATTAGAATGTACCCGTGCTTTTGAGGTGCGGTGAATAATGGCTGTATGTAATTAATAATTATAAATTATGTATGGATGAATTGGTGTTATGCAATGCAATCACATTTGGGTTTATTTTTAATTTGCAATTCAAATCTTTCAATTTTTGCTAATTTATGTATGATGCTTTGTTTATAATTATCATGCTTTGTTTTTGTGGATTGATTAGTTTATTTTCTTACTGTCAAAGTTGACAACAAGATTACTCCATATTATGTGATAACTGACAGAGCTCAAAGATTGGTGGCTGATTATAATTCGTACAGTAGTAAAATATATGTGAAGAAGCAGAGTGTAAAGAAGAGGAGTCCTTAGAGGTGGCTGCCACCGCCTAATCAATTGCAATGCCGCGAATATTGAGGAAGGTTGGGTGGGGCTTGGTGTATTGGCAAGAGATGGCTCTTGGTAATGTTATTTTTTCTGGAACTAGAAGAGTTAGTGCCTTAGTGGTGAGTGGTCTCCTGATATTGCAGAATGTATGGCAATACTCTTTAGATACAGGCTTTGCAGTATGGCAATATTCTTTGGATACAGGCTTTGCAATGCAAAAGCTTAAGGATATCATAGTGGAGTCGGACTGTCAAGTTGTTATGAATCGACTAGAGAAAGCTTCCACCTTCTTCACTGATCTGGATAATATACTAGATGACGCCTTAAGCCTTAGTTTAGAGTTGATCAAGTTCGGGTGAATCATTGCCCAAGCAAAATCTCCCCCTATTTTCTGGTACTTTTGGACTTGATGTCCTCTAACTAATGTAGTGCTAATCTTCTTCCCTTTGATCAGTACTAATTTGATCAGTAAAAAGGCTCCAATAATAATCAATTTCATTTTTATTGCACTTAAATTTTTGACACCTGCACATTAATACAGGTTTTAAACAAGTGACAATGAGTAAATATGATCAAGGCTCAACTCTATAGAGCTTTGACAAAGCTAATTAAAGCTAACAAATATCAATTGGGAGCAAGAAAAGTTTCCTGCTGAATTGCAGCTACAGAGAAAAATGACAGAGATCTTATTTGCCCTTCTTTGCACTATGGCCAGGACGACATTTTCAGGCCAAATCTCGAAAATAGCAACACTTGACCCAGATTTGAAATGTACAACCCTCAGAAAAGGGCAGAACAGTGAGCTTCATGCCATTTTTTTCATGCAGCAAGCAGAGCCCATTTTGCCAGATTTTATTCTTCACAGGGGCAGCAAAGTCTAAAAACACAAATTGCCACGATCTCTAAGATCTAAGAGCTTGAGAAAGTATTACGAAGCAAAAGTTGTACAAAATTGAGTATATAAGATCATTTGTGGCATTTCTTAGTACCTAAAGCTGCCCCATCAACACCCTTATTCCTCCTCAAGGTATTGGGAATGGGACGCTGCCAGAAGGGCAGCCCCAATGCCTGATCCATCATTTGAGTGCTCAACTACAACTGTTTCAGCGACTTCATCACCTAGTAGCTCCTTTAAAGAGTCCTCCATGCACTCCCGGAATTTGGCGTAGTGCTCAAACAACCCTCCGTCTAATGCAATCACAGACTTCTGATTTTCACCTTGCTTCAATGTGTCTCTCCCTAGTTTCTTAATAATTCCCAAAATCCCAGCTGCAGAAAGGCAGGCCCCACGAGAAGCAATGACGTCACAAACATCAACTATAATCTTTCTCACCTTCAATGATGAACTTGGTATCTGTGATGGAAGAAGAAGAAGAAGAAGCATATTATGGCGTGAAGCATTACTAGCATATAAGCAACTTTCAATTCTCAGCAATAATGACTAAATATTTAGACAAAAGAACCAAGCCATTCAGTGGATCCATAACATTTAGAAAAAAAAAAAAAAAAAAAAAAATCAATATTGAAATGTTCACTAACAAACTCAAGGACAGGGACATTTCCAAGCAAATAAATAGAACAACGCTAAAAAGGTCAAGGAGATGCAAGCAGTGGCCAAAGTGCATTACCCCTAGGACGTCCTTCAGTTTGCTTGCAACAACTTTAAGATCAGGGGATGTATCATGATGCATGGCGGACATGTCTGGTGTCCTGCCAAAATAAAGAGAGTAATAACGATTCAAATATATGAGGTAAAAGTCGGGGATAATTTCTTGTCAACAACAACAAAATTGATTCATGAATCATGATGACAATATATACAGTTAAAAGTCGCTATATATTAGAAATTTGATTGTGCCAGATGTAAGTTATATTATAAATGTATGTCTCCTAGGTTTCATCATTTTTAAAATTGGACCAACTTGGTGGGGAGTATGTTAGTACAAATACAATATTTGTTTTCTTCTTCGTTAAGATCTTACAAATGTGATGATGCCCAAGTTAGTGAAATAACAATCACTACGAAGAAAAGGATCAAAAAAGGGAAGAATTGGTGGGGGAACAGCCAAGGTCTTACAACATCAATTAAATTTGGCAAGCCAGATAGTCATATTATCTGTTATCACATAGGTAGAAAGAATGAGGAATGAATTGTTTCTTTTAATAATTTCTCTTGCTTTTTAAGCACTAAAATTGAAGTAAAATTGTTGAAGTCAGAACTCACGACTACTTTGTTCCCTAAAGATTGTTGATTAAAGTCTAGAGTTTTGTGCTACAAAGTAAGAAGATTTGATAAACTTTCAAATATTGAAAGGTACTAACATTTATGTTTGGTAGCTTAGCAGTCACTATTATGGCTATTGTGCAAAAAAAAAATTGATGGGTTCCAAACACATGCCAAATCCACATATAGTAGCTTATTTAATACATTAACAAGCAAATTTTTATTGATACTCCATACTAAACCCAACAAGGGACTAGAAAATATACCTTAAGATGAATGGAGTACTCAATTTTGGTGGGACTGTATCACCAAAAAGGCCGGCCTCATCTGCCATCCTATACAAGACTCTTCGCACAATCTCCCCCAAGTACATTCCAGATATCAATTTCTCATATATCTGTCAGACTCAGAGATAATGGTTATTGTTTGCAGTTGGAAAGTTAGAAAGTCGGGAACAAAATGAAAGGAAAACTACAGAAATCTCACCTGTTCACCAGGATTCAAACTTTCTTCATCTAGTGCTATGTCATATTCGGTCAAAGGCAAATGTGATGAACGGAAATTGCCCCACTCCATGTTAATAACCTATAGACAAAGTACAACAATATTCCTGAATGTTTAAAGTTGAGAATCACACAAAAGTATCTTGCAACTCCTTGTGAGAGGATTAGCCAAAAGAAATAAAGAGAAGACAACCAGAAAAAAGATGGTAAATTTGGATGTTGAAAAAAAATAGGATAGGGTAAAAGCCTAACCATCTCCCCTGATTTGGGCAAAGAGCCATGCCACTTGGGAATTGCACTAGCACGTTCAACATAAGCTGCATTTGTTCCAGTACCCAATATAACAGCAGCAATCACATCTTCTTTATGGTATCTACCTCCAGCTAAGGTTCCAACTGTATCATTGACCTAAACCATAATTGAAGGTAAAAAGTAAGAAGACTGAGTAGGATTTACATACAAAGGTTTGTCAAATGGCATTGTAAAAAGTACTTTAATAATCAAGGGAAATATCAAGCTGAAAACTTACCAAAGCTGTCACACGCATATCTACACCCTTTCTTTGCATGGCTTTGGTTAATTCTGCCACCACATCTTCACCAACCTATGTGATATCCCCCAGGAAGAACGAATAAGCAACCATGGAAAATCAATAAATACATTATCGCAACTCAAGTAATGTGATGGACTTAAAAATCACAGAAAATTTTCAGAACATTTGTGTATAATTTAGTTGAACTAAAAAAAAAAATGAACGCAATATCCTCAACAGCAGCAGTTCTCAAACATATAGGTGCCTTAGATATTTGCCAGCAGAAAGGAATTAGCGTAGTGTATTAGTCTTATGGTTGTTACCAGAGATGGAAAATTGGAACTTCCGTATTTATAATACTGACTTAAGAAACAAATCTACTGATTCTGGGATTTCAAAATCAAAGAAGAAAAGTAATTGTAGTGCAATAATGCAATTTGGCAAGTATGCAGCAATCATAGATTTAAAAAAAATAGCTCTATCTTCACAACCATCCCTGATCGGCCTGATGAGAGCCAGTACAAAGATTGTCAGAAAATTTATTGAGTGAGTGTTTCCACAGGCTACTGTATCCTAATTGACCGAGTGATGTTTAGCAGTAAAAAATAAATCAACTGAAATCTGAACACAACAACACTCTCTCCGCGCTGACTGAACTTTAGTTTACCCCACTTTTAAGAGTCCTCCAATTGCTAGTCTAAGTTAATTCACAAGTTAAACATTTATGTCCAGTTAGATTATAAAAAATTTGGGGATAATTTTCAGGTACCGATCATGAATGCAGGTTTTGAAAAGAGAGAGAGAGAGAGACAGACTAACCGCATCTTCTATTTTAAAACCCTTGGTCCATCTTATAAGGGTCCCTGATGCAATCGATGTCTGCTTTACTGGAAAAGAGAAGGTAAATCCCAACTCTCTCTGCTTATTGGGTTCAGGATGTAGGCCTTCACCTTCCGTTGCAACAAATTTAGCAAGGGCCTCAGCTATGTAGTCAAACAGTTGCTGAAATCACCACATTTTACAAACTTTAGACAGAAATCAAGGAGGGAATGGTTAAATAGTTTATGTATGAGCTAAATCAACTTACTTCTGATGTCCCAACCATCAACTCAGGTGGGATTGAAACTTCGTCAAATTCTTGTTGGACAACACGATGTTCTTTGCCACCCAACTTCACTCGAAGCACTCGGAAGTTGGTGCCACCAAGATCTAATGCATAAAATAATCCATGCTCGTCCCTAGAGAAAGGAAGACCAGATATTAGGGGATTAGACCATGTCTTGGCCAAACACAAAAAACACAGAACAAAAACATTTCAGATTAGCTGTTGACTCAAACCTTAACCCAGGAATGAGCAAACCCAATAATCATATACTAGAAAAGAGCTCTATGAAAAGAATAAATCACAAACAGGGTTTGAATTTGAAAACATAGTTCAAACCTATATTGAGAAAGAGAAACAACAGTTCTCAGCTTACAATTGGATACAATCATTCTAACAGTACTGCCTTCTGAATGTACACAGCTTGTATTATCAATGTTACTCATGCATGCATGATTGAAAGTTTGAAACCCAACATCCCCATCCAATAAAGCTACCCACTAGAATTCCATGGCTTGCATAGTTTTTAATATGCAAGCCCATCTTTCGCACAAGTGGTTGACAAATAAAGGTTATGCAAAGTAGGGAATAGAAGTGATTTAATGAACCACTTGACCAATTCAATTTCACATATATCTATTTTTGTAAATGATCCTCCTCAGAAAAGTATTTCCTTCTAATCGAGCAATCTAAACCTATTCTTAACAACAACAATTTAAGAAGAATCCTCCCCTTTACTTTATAATAATACACCATGTTAACCTCCTCATCACAATCCTAAAAGAAATTGTCTTTATGCTTAAAAATGATCTCATAATTATATCCAGATAATCTCTTTTATCGCTTGGCACCATAACCATCCGCTTAGATAATTTTAAGGCGGTTGTTGTAAATCCCCAAGCCATAACCACTTTAAAAGTAGGCACAAGTTGTTGCAAGATTCTTCCTTTATTCCTTAATACATTTATTTTCAGGTACGCTCACATATTGGGAAGTTGCATTGCATTAATGTTTTAATCTACCAAGTAATAATGCATTGTTGTTTAAGTGAAAAATAAAATGAAATAAGAAAAAATAGATGTTCACCTAATAAGAAATGGTGAGAATAGACAACCATAACACTCTTCCACTAACCCAAATGAATATACTATGGAAGTGGGGACAAAAAAAAAAAAAAAAAAAAAAAAAAAAGGAGACAATTTCAACTACTCCATACATATATAAAAAAGCTGAACTTTTGGGACATCCAAATTATTTTGTTAAAAAAACCTTCTTTTAAGAAAAGAGCACGTAAAAGTTCAACATTAATACTAAACAAGTAAATCACTTGTGAAACTAAAGAAACTGCTGTAGCATAGTTCAGCAACTATTAACAAGGATCACAATATATGACAAACTTTTTGAAGTTCATCTCTATGAAAACGGCAGCTACTGTAGATTCAACGGCATATAGAAACTGTTGAGCTCGTCTATATAGGATTATTGATGAACACTCTATCAGATGCTGACCTGACATGATACAGCTACGGAATTTAAAGCATTGACTTACAATTTCGTATGCCTAACAACATACACTTGATAAAATTTATTGTCTTTGCTACTCAAATGACATCCCACCTATTCTCCCCAAAATCTACCCTCTACAACTTAGCAAGCCAATTCATATCACCAATCATAACGCTTGATCACGAAGAAATCACAACTCAGGTAACCAATAATAAGCAACATAGCAATCAGGAGTGAAAAACAAGTAAAGCAAACTTCCAAAAGAAGCCAATTTTATATCTTTTCTTCGCCAATTGATGGACCAGAGGCAGCAAATAAACAACCTGGAACCGTAGTGGGGTTAGTCTTCCCGGCAGGGGGAAAGGTGACACCTTTTCCCCGCGGGAGTATTGACACCATTCACACTAGTCATTGATTAGCCAACAATCCTCAAACCAATATTGAAATCCACATAATTTACATCTACCAACCATTTCCAACAATAAAATTCACAAAAGAAAACTCACAAAAATAGATCAATTACTCAATCAAACCAACAATAATCCTCCATTAAACAACTAACAACCCCAATTAAGCTAAACACAACCCTCAAAACAATCATAACATTAAAAAAAAAATCAAATTAATTGCCAAATCCTATAACAAATAATTAGATCATTAAAAAGTAAAACAAACAACTCAAAACCCACTAAATTTATTACATCCAAAAAACAAAAACAAAACAACCCATTAAACATAATCAATCAAAAACACAATCTCAACCAAAAAAAATTAAAGAAAATCAAATCAAATCAAAAGACGAACCCGGTAGGAAGATTATCAACATAGCTGATGAGCATCTTAAGCTTAGAACCACCTTCAGATGCAAGACCAGCATGCATCTCAACAGTCATAGCATCAGCAACCTGTCTAAGCTTACCCAAAGGGGTCCCACACTTGTCATCAAGCTCCTTAAGTATAGCCATTACACGACTCCACTTTCTTGTACTCTTCATCCTTTGTCGAACCACCACCGCCGCCGCCACACACACCGCCGCCGCACCTATCACCGCCACCCCCACCGCTTCTTTCCTCATTTTTTCTCTCTCTAAACTTCACAGAATTTGATGGGTGTTGTACAATTAAATTACTTTTTTTCTCTAAATTACAACAATGGATATAAATTGGATTAATTTTAATTGGGCATGTTGGAAAATTGGGTTTCTTTCTTTCTTCTCAAGATGCAATCTTGATGAATGAGAAATGGATGAGAGAGAAAATGAGATGAGTAGATCCGGGTAAAATTGATTGGGAAATTCAGATGATTATTTTTTTTTTTTTTTTAATTTTTTTTTTTGGAGGGACCGATTTAACCGGAGCTTTGCCTTGAGGTGGTCTTAACTTTTAGCTCTTTATTTAGGATTTATAAATGGAATTTTCCTTTAACTTTTGTATTTTTTTGGGAGATTTTTGAGAAAAAAAGTGTGTTTTTTTTTTTTCCCTTTGTAGAGGATGATTCATGAGTCATGATGCCTAAATGGCGTTTTTATACTACTAGTGTGAGTGAGAAGTGTTTTGTCATTTATCTACTAGATTATGACTAATATGCTTTATCTCGAGTTTAAGATAGAACAAACAACAAAAGTATTAGTTGATTCAAAGTAGTTGTTGGGTTTAAAAGTTATATGTAACCAAAAACTTAAACTTACTTCATCGATTTATTCAACTGACTTTTGCAATATCTCACATGTTATACTTTAATTAAAATAATTGATTTTTTTTTCAAGGAGAAAAAAATTAGCCATGTAAGATTATTCTTTGCTTCGTATTATGTTAGATATATTTACTTATTGAAAATTTATAAAGCATTAATGATTCCCTTATGATCTACTTCGTATTATATAGAGAAGGTAAGTTTAGTTTTCATTCAACTCGAATCTTAGAATATTAATAAGTACCATAAGAGTCTAAGGCTATGCTAAATATAATTTATTTTGTTTGACCTTAGTATATATATACTTATTTGAACTTGTCTAAAAAATAATTATTTTGTTTGAAATAATTTAAAATAAGTTGAGCAAAACATGACTTAACGACATCAGAGAATTTGAAGATAAAGAAAGGAGGAGAATGATGGATAGATAAAATAGGAATCTCATTTCATTTCCCTTTTAATAAACCATGTCTTTTCAAAAGTTAAATATAAATCCAAGTTCACTCTTCTCTAGCTCTCTCCCCTTCATTTACCTTTATTTTCATTGTCTTTCATAGTTTCATGAGAGTTTCATCCCCTTAAGTCCTCTATTATTGTTATCCAAACACACTATTAAAATTTATAAGGCCAAAAGTTTCGATAATTCCATGTAATAGCTTTATGTCTTTATATTGCTTTGGTGTTGGATTTTTGTACACCCCGCTTTTTACACCTCTAACAAAAACAACATTATATAATTACCTCTCATAAAAGAAACAATGATAAGTTTAGGAAGATTAAGTTCGTATGAGAGTGATAAGTTTAAATAAGATTTCAGAAAAAATAAGTTCAAAAAAAATAAGTTCAAATAAAAGTTAATAAGTATAAATAAATTAGGTAAGATAAGTTGTAATAAATGAAAATCTAGTAAATAAAAACAACCCTTAATTTTTCTTTATTTATAACTTTTGACAAGTTTGATTGCAATCCTGAGCAAAGATGAACCATTGTTTCTTAGAAAAAATGATAAGCAAAAAAAAAAATCAGATCTTGTGCAGTCCATAGCCACAATTTATCACATCAATATTGACAATTACCTATTTTTTTGTAAAAGCATAGCAATATAGCATTGAATGATAATATGATAATACATCACATCATCAAAACAATTGGAATTAAACTTGGACCCACCTATTTTCCAGTAGGACAGTTAAGAAAAACATAGTCTTATGTTTTGCCATACAATGGGAGGAAATTAGAGAAAAGAAAATAAATGGATTTATTAAAAAAAATAAAAATTGAGTGGTCCAAAAGAGGATATTTGGGGAATCTGATTGATTTTTGATTTCAAGACAAATTGATGATGAAATTTGGCACATGTAACGAAAAGAACATGTAAGCTACCACCACATCAATCATCCATCAAGGAAAAATATCAAATTTCATGCAAAAATATCGAATTGGAAGCTTTATACATTCAACAAATATTCATTTGCCCACGAGGTGCCCATTTCTTGGGCCTTCTTTTACAATAATCCTGACGGGCTGAAACCAGCCCACATACCAGGTGTCGCCACGTCGAAAGGGTTTCCTCTTCATTCCATAATCTACCTGTGTAGACAGTAGAGTATGTTTGGTTTAGAGCAGCAAGTTGAGCATTCTAGGAAGAGATGAATTGATTTCATAGGACAGTCTGCTTCTTATGATCATTATGTATCGATAACTCGATAAGGCCTACAGCATAGCACAGAGGCACTAGTCTTATAATGATGCAACTTGTAAGCAACAAGACAATGTATTATAGGGATTAAGAATATACAACACCTTCAATTGGATTGGTAATATGACAGAATCATCCAGAAAGTTCTGCGCGAGTTGGTATAACTGGAATCAGAAAGTTTCCGAATGGTGAATCAAATATCCGGAAATTTGCAGTGCAGCCCTCTTGCTGTGCTTGTGCTACATCATGATTTCTCGCCTGCAGAATGCTGAGTGGGTTTACAGCAGCCTACATAAACAGTCACAGAACAAAGTGAATCATTGCACGTTATCTAAATAATTAAGACATGACGAACAATTTCTATGACAATAGAAAGTCCAATTTTTTTTCCATGAACTTAAAATAGCATAATGGTCCACATACCAATTAATTAGCATGATAAAAATTGTCAATTACAATATAAAGTCCAAATTGTTTTCAGGAGCTTAAATTAGCATATTTGGTCCACATACCATTGAACTATCTTTAGATAATGCTTCTTTTGCTGCAGGGGATGGATTTATGACCCTGCAGTAATATTCAAACAGAATTAGAAAATGAATGACTTAGCTTTCGTTTTTCATAGCACAAATCCCTCTCTAGTGCAAAGAAGCACGGATTTTCTAAGAGGGAAGGTGCAATTGCTTTCCTTGAGCATTAATCAAGTCACTCATTATTCAAAGACTGATGATAGTTTTGCCTGCATTAATCCTCATTTATGTTTTCTACTTCAAGAAGGAAAAAAGCAAGTAGCCTACGATAGTGTGAGGATCTTGCCTATACAGCAAAGTGACAAACAGGAATATGACATCATTTTCAAAATCATTTCAAATGAAAGCCAAGACTACAAATTTAGTCCAGCTTAAGGTAATTAGTGTGATAGTGTGTAGCAGGCCCTAATACAGATCCGCATTAAAGTCGGATAATTAATGACCCTTAGGATGTGCAGGAATCTAATCCAACTAAACTCCTTTTTCAAACATGGCTTTAAGCTCCATTAATTAGCACTAGACCTGGTTATTGGGTGGGTCGGTTGCGGGTCAGGGTCAGGGTCAAAGAGGGTCACATTTTATAGGGTCAATATAGGGTCGGGCCAATGCGGGTCGTGGGTCGATAATGGGCGGGCCTACAAAATATCAATTAAAATAAATATTGGACAAAGCCATTATTAAATACATATGAATACAAATTAATCTATACAATTATTTTTAAATTATGTATTTTCTTTATCAACTAAATTGGAAAAACATGTTGGCCCTATATTGACCCTACCCAATAAGGGCCTTGTCCATTAATAGCCCTATAAGCTTGGCCCTGACCCTATTATCATTGGACTACCCTGTCCAATAACCACCTCTAATTAGCACTATTATGAGTTCTAGTCCAGGCTATAATTGAAAAATACTCAAGAGATGTACTACATGGATGATCAATAGAATTGGGAGACCTTTGAAATCTGAATTTCTTTTCAATAAGATCTTCTAGACCATAGGTCAGATAAAAGAATGCAGTGCTTGTCTTAACAAGGAAGACAGCATTCCATGCAAATAGGTTTGGTTAGGAAGGTCTTCATACACAGAGCCTCACATAGTCACATGGTAAATTCTTAGGGGAGGTGCTGGTATTTCATCATAGTTTTCATTGTTATATTCTCCTCAGTCCAAAGAAATTAGGATCTCAAGTTCTTATGGCATACTGAGTGAAATTTTCATTTTTGATTTTGTGTATAGGATGTCTGCAGCAAGACTTGGAGTTCATCAATCTTATGTCATAATTGTTTTTGTTCTGCCTGAGATCTAATGACAAATACATTGGATCCTCATTTGTTTCGAATTTTTGAGTACCATTTCGAGTATTTAGGCAGTTCTGCAACATAATGCAATGACAGGCCAACACAATTTCTTTTCTACTAAGGTGAAATCGGGGCAGAAGAGGGGTGCAAATCAAAGGTCAGTATCTCTGCCTCAAGGTTCATAAAGTAAGCATGATTTCCAAGCAGAAGACAAAAGATGAGGGCTAATCTCTTAAAACAATTTCCTTCTTCCAGATCAAGAAAGTGGAAAAAGGAAATGAGATTGAAAGCCAAAAGAAAAGAACAGGATACATTCTCACCACAGTGTCAATACTTAATATCTCAATATAAGAAACACTATCTGAAGCATTTCCCGTTTATAGTCCTGTTAGCCCATTCTTTCAAGTAAAATTGACTACCCTGTTCTGGCTGGTGATAGTACACAGAAGGCATTTACGATAATGAATCATATAGTTTACGAATCACGCGGATGTCTAGTAACTAAGGTAACTGCAAAGCACTTCATGATAACTTGACGATTCTAATATTTGCTGAACCCACAGTCTCCCTCCTGGCCCTCCAGAGAAAGAGCAAGAAAAACAATTAACCAAAAAGAAGATTGCAGAAGAGATTGTATGAAAAACAATTAACTTAACCAAAAAGAAGATTGCAGAAGAGATTGTATGTAGACATAGAATTAATAAATCATATTTTACAGGGCTTTTAGATCAAGAATGACATTGCAACTCTTATACCAGTTAAATTGGCAGCTCAGCCCCATATCAAGCTTTCCTTTGAAAGTCTTCGCAGTTATTGAAACCAAAGTTGAAAATAATTTGTGATAAGGACTGAAAATTAATACTAGAATTACAAAGAGTAGGCCAATAAGTGCAGTTGAACTATAGAATAAGAGGACAAGTTGTCCTTGATCAGAAAGAACTCCTACAAAATAACCCAATTCCTTTGAATTCCAAAATAGCCTGATTGTAAGAAGCCCCAGCTCCCCTATACCCCATAAGGAGGCTAGATAAGTTACCCTATCCCACGGTGGCTCCCAAAAATATAAATGAACTCCAATACTCCATTCTACCCAACGATAACTGAATATTGTATAATCAACATAAATCTAGTACCACCAAAGCACTATAGCAAATTAGCAACTTTTTCAAAATATTATAGGAAAACCCAGAAAATCATACCAAGCAAAGAAAATTCATCCAAAGATTACCTGTCACCAACAATGAAGAAAACATTCAAGCGTAGCCACTAGAAAGCCAAACAATTATCTAACAACATAGCCAACCAACTCGGTCTTTACTTTTGGAACAAATCACTATTTCCAATACTATCAAACCTGGAGACTATAAACTTTACTCATCGACAATCCTTGTCCTTAAGCCTGAGTAACAATGCACCAAATCTATAGAACAATGATTTCTCCTACAATAATTATCGATTAAGATTTTAAAATATGCTCCTTAGCATGATAGCAACATCACCAAAGCTAGTCTCCAATCCAATTATCCAAGTCTCTGATTAATTTAGGAAATTAGTTAAATTCTAGTCAATGGCATACGAAAACCAGATGCACGATTCAAAAACATCAACTCGACAGACCGACCAAATTTAACTTACACCATATCAACTCCTGATCTAAATTGTACCTAAATTGAAGAAATCATCCCCTTTGCTTTCCTCCCTACTCCCCCAACTTTTTCCAATGAAAAAATCCATTCACTTAAAACTTTATTACATGCATACCAGATCAACTCTTGTCATAGTTATTAAGAAGAATGAAACAATTCTATCTTCAAAGACATTCCAAACTATATCAACAAAACCAACAAAATATTGCTTGTTGTTCATTTCTGGAAAAGTTCAGGTTCTTCAGTTAATTTTCAACACCCAAAACAATTTCTTTCCAAACCCTTAAATTAATTTACATAAACTACTCATTTAAACAAAAAATTGATTAAAAAAATAAAAATCATCTATGATATTCCTCGCAAATTATGGTCCAAGAAACAATCTTTGTCACTATGATACTACAACAATTTTTCGCAAATATTAAGAAATCTACAGCAATGAATTGAAAGCAACAGAGAGATAGAGAAGGGTTACCTTCGAGGTGGCGGGTTGATCTTCCTTTTCTTCAATTCGGACTCCATTGCCTTCCCTCAAGCAGTAGGAACTCAGGACGAGTGAAAAACTTCCTCCTCCACCGTATAATCTACTTTCGGCTAAAATTTGGGTCTCATGGTCATTAGTCATTACTCCCTCCGTGTTTTTTTAAGTGATACATTTTTTATTTCCGGCCGTGTTTTTTTAAGTGATACATTTTCCATTTCCGGCCGTGTTTTTTTAAGTGATACATTTCCTTTTTTGGCAAAACGATACATTAAAATATTATATCTCTCTCCTCTCATGGCCCCCACCCAAACCCACAACTACTTTTTTTATTATATTTTTCCTCTCACATTCATTACTTTTCAATAAACTATTAACCCCACTATCTTTCTTTAACAATTTTTTAATACTCTACTACCCCACTTACCTCTTATTTTATTTAAGTCAATTAAATTGCCTAAAACTATGTGCCGGTCAATATGTATCACTTAAAAAAAAACGGAGGGAGTAGTAGAAACAAAATTTATTTATCAAAGGGCAAAATTGTAAATAAATCAACAATTTTGTATTAAATTTGGGTCTTACTGTTGTTGATATATTTACGAAAATGTGACTGGACATATATGTTGTTTTAGTTACCATTTTGCCATTTGTTTATCAAATTGATTAACCGGGACTACTTCATTAAAAACGGACCCGATATATTTATAATCTGACAAAAATTATACTGATTAGAAAATAAATTATATATTCACCATTTCAAATTTCAATGCACATAGATAGATCAATAAAGATTGTTGTTGTCCGCTTTTGGGTGAAAACAATAACAAATCTACGGAGTATTTTATAAAAGGGAAATAAATAAATGTTAAAAAGATTTTCTAATTAAAAGGTGTAAATGCTTTTAGGTTGTTTTAAACTTGAGTATATGAAAAAGGTAAAGATAGAATTTGATAATGGTCACATTTGGCTAATTTCAAATTTATAAACATTGATATTTAAACATTGAATAATCAAATTAAGAGCTTGTTCACATTTACTGAACAGAGCTGAAATGAACTGGTTGGAGCTAAACTGAACTGAACCGATTGGAGCTAAACTGAACTGAACTGAAATTAAGCTGAAGTGAACAGACCCTACTCTTAAACATGGCCAATGGATGCCCAATTTGATCATCAATTTGTTTTATTCTTTCTCTTTATACTTCATTAATGATCTAAATCAAAGTCAATCTAAACGACCTGATTGTCACCTCTATAAATAAATCGTATTTTTTTCTCTTAATTTACTATTTCCATTATAATGCCTCGTATCTCCTCATGCCAAGCAACACCATACCTTTTGACTATCTACAAAAGGCGAGGTAATTATATTCCGGTGATTGAGTATGAGTCAATTTTGACACAATTATTTTTTTTAGGATGGTGGGAGTATAATTGTGCCCAACTTTGAACATAACCTCGGATAGTAGTATAGTACTCCATATCGCACATTTCTCGCAGTCCTCCTTCCTGTTCTGCGCCTTCAATATATTCATCAGCACACCACACAACTCAAAACCCTTTTCAATCCGTTCGAAATTAGCGCGCTTTGTGCAATTACACCTTGCACATAGATTATACCTACTCATTTCAAACAACAATCTTCTTCATTTAAAGGGAACAACAAAAAAACGTCCAACTCAAGAATGAAAGAAGAAAAAGAAGCCATTTTTGTTTGATTTTTCCCCTTTCTATTCGTTATTAAGTCAAGAATCAGAAAGGTAATTTCTTTAATTTAGTTTAAACTATGCATTAGCTATTTCTTGGTGCATCAATTTGCAAACCCATAGTTTATTTATTTCTATGATGTTGAATTTGGTTAAATATCAGTGATTTTGATAAATAGATATCTGATAGCTTTGTTTTGTTCTAGCTACTGTATTAATAATTGAAGTTAGCGCAAAATTTCATGATAAAAAATTGCCCTTTGCCTTTGTAGTTGATAATTACATTTAAAACCATTGATTAAATGACATTCTAATATCCCTTTTTCAGGAATTGCTTGAAAATTAAAGGGGTTAAGCTCGTTAATCACTGAGCCTGATGTTGAGATTAGCGGCGGGATATGTGGTAAGCCTATTACAATCCCAAGTAATTGATAAGTTTCAATTTTTTTGGAGAGGAATTGTATTGATAAATGTGAAATTGTGCTCTTTTTTAGTTGAATCATAGCTCACAGCTTGGGAGGGTTAGATGTCAAGCCCCAAAAATGTGGTTCAGTACAATGCCCCAAGTTGAGGTATATTTCAATCTTTATTATTCTTCTTTTTTGTGTGATTTAGCATTGTTTTGGCATACAACCGCGACAATTTTGTATGGATTCTGTTGGGGGTGTTTAGGGAGGTCTAGAAGTTCATAATCTTATTGCTTAGCTAGTGCAAACTAGTGTTGGAACGATTTTTAGAAAATTCTTAAGAAAAATTTCTGTTAGTGAAATGGTAATGCTATTGCTGTGTTCTATTTTTTATGTTCTTTTCAAGGTATACTATGTCGTCGTATTAGTCTTCCTTGACATAGTTGGCCTTCAGGGATCATAGCTTTAGTTCTACTTCCGCACACAAAAAAACCACTTAATAAGGAATTTACCTGCATCCTTTACATTTCTGTGGAAATTCCTTCATCTTATACTCCCATATAGAGCTGTCAAAAGCTGACCCGACCCGAAATACCGACCCTAACCCGACCTGATAACCGACCCGTCTGAACCCGAAAAAAATGGTGACCCGAACCTGACCTGAAACCAACCCTAGACCTGAGTTAACCCGAGTATTAAAGACCCGAACCCGAACATTAACCGACCTAGAGACCACCCGACCCGAATGTAACCCGTAAATAATTGACCTGAAACCGAACCCGACTTGAACAGAAATTGACCCAAACCCGTTTTAACCCGTCAAAACCCGAATTCAACCCGACCTGTTCCTAATCCGACCCGAATTCAACCCGACCTGTTCCTAACCCGACCTGTTCCTAACCCGACCCGAGTTTAACCCGACCTGCTACAAACCCGACTCGAATTTCAACCTGACTTGTTATTGAAACGACCTGCTACAAACCCGACTCGAATCAATCCGACTTGTTATTGACCCGACCCAAATTCAACCCGACTTGTTATTGAATCAATATGTATAGTTCGTTATCTCATGTTGGTATTGGAAGGGAAATTGAATCTTAACTCTATTCCTTTAATATTTCACTTTGATTTTTAAGAGATAGTTTCACAACATGTTTTTAGGGACGAATTTCAGGGACAAAACATGTTTTCCGCAAAATATTAACTTGAACCGAACCCAACTCGAAGCCGACTTGGAAATGACCCGACTTGATTATAACCCGCAAATTATTGACTTGAACCGAACCCGACCTGAACCTGATAATGACCCCACCTGATTATAACCCGTAAATAATTGACTTAAACCGAACCCGACTCGAACCCGAGAACGACCCTAACTCGTTTAAACCCGTAAAGACCCGAATTTAACCCGACCTATTTTTCACGTGACCCGAAATGTAACCCGACCTTTTACTAACCCAACCTAAACCCGATAAGATGTATGACCCGACGTGACCCGGCTCAAGCATGACCAAACCCGAACCCGACCCACATATGTTATGACATTAACCCATATTGACCCAACCCGAGATGACCCGACTCACACTAACCCGACTCTAACCCGACCCGTTTACCCGAATTGACAGCTCTACTCCCATAGTCCTATGCATGTAAGATCACCCACCTTTATTCTATGTCACTTGTTAATTGTAAGATATGTTTGTGAGTGATGATGTCATTTTTTCTGAACTACCCTACCCCTATGTTTCTGTATATAATCCTTTAAATAAATATATATAATTCAATTTATAAATCACGCTTGGGTAGTTCTTTTGTATTAATTCATACCAGTCTGAGATCAAGCAAATCTTTTATAGTTTCTTAACCTAACTGTATGTTGGAGTCTCATGCACTAAGTATTATATTCCCTTTAATGTTTGAATGGAGTCTTTCCTTTTATTATCCAATTTTGGGTAATTGCTTCTGTTGACTATCTCTAGTTTTAGGGATTAATTCCTGCTATAATAACAATATATATCTATGTTATCTGAGTAGTTATTGCTTTGTGCTGTTAGGGTCAGAGCCAGGTGACATCTAATGACATTGGAAAGGAAAACAGCTATGATCACAATATATTTTTAGGACAAAAGATTACGAGGAAAGAGAAGATGAAATTTCTGACTAAGACAGTAAGTTATTTTTATTTTTATTATGTTGGTTACTTATTCTAATTGCCAATATACACAAATTGCTAGAAAAATGAGCTGTATTTGTTAAGGATATAATTTTGCCATGTGTATGATAGAGATGCATATAATTCATTCCCTCATACTTCCCCCCTGAATATCAATCAAACATGCTCTGCAATGAGCTATTAGAGCTGAAGTGAATGTTTTGGAATAAGTTAGTGAGATCTAAAATACTGAACATGTTACCATTAACATCTCAGTAGTCGATGTTGTTATCCATGCATCACTCGTCTTTGCTGTTTCCGCAATACAAAGAAAGTTGAATACGTAGTAGTTTCCTTGCCACAAAGATGAATTGAACTCAAGATTTGATGCCTAGATGTATTATAGTTAGAGCTATCAAAAATTGACCCGACCCGAAATACCGACTCAAACCCGATTAATAACCGATCCATCTGAACCCAAAAAATGGTGACCCAAACCCGACCTGACCCGACCAAAACCAACCCTAGACCCGAGTTGACCCGAGTATGTGAGACCCGAAACCGAACATGAACTGAACAAGAGATGACCCGACCCGAATGTAACCCGTAAATTATTGTCCTGAACCGAACCCGACTTGAACCGAAATTGATCCAAACCCGTTTTAACCCGTCAAAAACCGAATTTAACCAGACTTGTTACTAACTTGACTTGAATTCAACTCGACCCGTTCCTAACCCGACTTGTTATTGACCTGACCCAAATTCAACTAGACTTGTTATTGACCCGACCCGAATTTTACCAAACCTAATACTAACCCGACCCAAAAATTCAACCCGATATGTTACTAACCAGATTAAAAATCAACACAACTTGTTACTGACTCGCATAGAATATGGAATTAATCCGAATTGACCCGACACAAGTTGACCCGACCCACTCTTACCGACCCAAACCCAACCCGTTTACCCGAATTGACACCTCGGAAAGCTCTAAAATTTCTAAAAAAAGTGGATATTAGCCTTTAATTTTGGAATTTTTTTGACTTTTTTTCACCCGAAAATAAAAATTGCCGAAATGTTTACCATGGTTCCTAATACCCCCCGGGAGTCCAATTGGCCGGGTGAAACCATCCAATTTGCCTTTAAACGACCAATTTACCGATTTACAACTTGCACCGATTTCATTAATTCAAGACTACCACGAACATTTATGACAACATAAAATGATCAAATATGGTTCCAAACGGCATTATATGACTCCGAGATGTATCCCCTAAAATCTCAAGCCTTTTCGACACCGAGTCCCGAAATCTCCAAAATTTCTCAAAAAACGTGGATATTAGCCTTCAATTTTGGAATTTTTGACTCTTTTTTCGCACGAAAATAAAAACTGTCGAAATGTTTACCATGGTCCCTAATACCCTCTAGAAGTCTAATTGGGTGGGTGGAACCATCCAATTTGCTTTTAAATGGCCAATTTACCGATTTACAATTTGCACCGATTTCATTAATTCAAGCCTACCACGAACATTTATGACAACATATAATGATCATATATGGTTCCAAACGGCATTATATGACCCCGAGATTTATCTCCTTAAATCTCATGTCTTTTCGACACCTGGCCCCGAAACCTCCAAAATTTCTCAAAAAGTGTGGATAATTAGCCTTCAATTTTGGGATTTTTTGACTTTTTTTCGCCTGAAAATAAAAATTGCCGAAATATTTACCATGACCCCTAATACCCTCCGAGAGTCCAATTGGGTGAATGGAACCATCCAATTTGCCTTTAAACGACCAATTTACCGGTTTACAACTTGTACCGATTTCATTAACTCTAGCCTACCACGAACATTTATGACAATATAAAATGATCATTTATGGTTCCAAACGGCATAATATGACCCCGATATGTATCCCCTAAAATCACATTTCTATTTGACATCAGGCCCCGAAACCTTCGAAATTTCTATAAAATCATGGATATTAGCCTTGAGTTTTGGAATTTTTGATTTTTTTTTCGCACGGAAATAAAAATTGTCAAAATGTTTACCATGGTCCCGAATACCCCCCGGAGTCCAATTGGGAGGACTATCCAATTTGCCTTTTAACGACCAATTTACCTATTTACAACTTGCACTGATTTCATTAATTCAAGACCACCATGAACATTTATGACAACATATAATGATCAAATATGGTCCCAAATGCCATTATATGACTCCGAGATGTATTCCAAAAAAATCTCAAGTCTTTTCGACACCGGGCACCCGAAACCTCCAAAATTTCTCAAAAAATGTGGATATTAGCCTTCAATTTTGGAAAATTTTGACTCTTTTTCGCCCGAAAATAAAAATTGCCGAAATGTTTATTATGGTCCCTAATACCCTCTGGAAGTCCAATTGGGTGGGTGGAACCATCCAATTTGCCTTTAAACGACCAAATTACCAATTTACAACTTGCACCAATTTCATTAATTCAAGCCTATCACGAACATTTATCACAACATATAATGATCATATATGGTTCCAAACGGCATTGTATGACCCCGAGATTTATCTCCTTAAATCTCATGCCTTTACGACACCTGGCCTCGAAACCTCCAAAATTTCTCAAAAAGCGTGGATAAATAGCCTTCAATTTTTGGATTTTTGACTTTTTTTTGCCTGAAATTAAACATTGTCAAAATGTTTACCATGGTCCCTGATACCGTCCGAGAGTCCAATAGGGAGGGTGGAACCATCCAATTTGCCTTTAAACGACCAATTTACCGGTTTACAACTTGTACCGATTTCATTAACTCTAGCCTACCACGAACATTGATGACAATATATAATGATCATTTATGATTCTAAACGACATTATTTGACCCCGAGATGTATCCCCTAAAATCACATTTCTTTTCGACATCAGGTCGTGAAACCTTTGAAATTTCTACAAAATCATGGATATTAGCCTTCAGTTTTGGAATTTTTGACTTTTTTTCGCACGGAAATAAAAATTGTCGAAATGTTTACCATGGTCCCTAATACCTCCCGGGAGTCCAATTGGGTGGGTGGAACCATCTAATTTGCCTTTAAACTACCAAATTACTAGTTTACAACTTTTGCACCGATTTCATTAACTCGAGCCTAGACGAACGTTTATGACAACAAATAATGATCACGTAAGGTACCAAACAACATTATATGACCCTCAGATGTATTCCTTAGAATTTCAAGATTTTTAGACATTGTGGCTCCGAAGACTCAAAATTTCTCAAAAAACGTGGATATTCGCCTATAATTTTTAATTTTTTTGACTTTCTTTCGCCCGGAAATAAAAATTGCCGAAATATTTACCATATTCCATAATACCCTCCCGAAGTTCAATTGGGTCGGTGGAACCATCCAATTTGCCTTTAAACGACCAATTTACAGATTTACAAATTGCACCGATTTCATTAATGAAAGCCTACCACGAACATATATGACAACATATAATGATCATATATGGTTCCAAACGACATTATATGACCCAAAGATGTATCCCCTAAGATCCTAAGGCTTTTCGACAACAAGCCCCGAAACCTCCAAAATTTCTCAAAACGCTTGGATATTAGTCTTCAATTTTGGAAATTTTTTACTTTTTTTCGTCCAGAAATAAAAATTGACGAAATATTTACCATGTTCCTTAATATCCTACGGGAGTCCCATTGTGTGGGTGGAACCATCCAATTTGCCTTTAAACGACAAATTTACCGATATATAACTTGCACCGTTTTCATTAACTCAAGCCTACCACGAACATTTATGACAACATATCATAATCAAATATGGTTCTAAACGGCATTATATTACACCATGATGTATTCCGTGGAATTTCAAGACTTTTCGACACCGAGTCCCGAAACTTCCAAAATTTCGCAAAATACGTGGATATTAGTCTTCAATTTTGGAATTTTTTTGACTTTTTTCGCTCGGAAAAAAAAATTGGCAAAATGTTTACCATGGTCCCTATTACCCTCCAGAAGTCCAGTTGAATGGGTGGAACCATCCAATTAGCCTTTAAACGGCCAATTTACTGGTTTACAATTTGCACCGATTTCATTAACTCAAGCCTACCACGTACATTTATGACAACGTATAATGATCATATATGGTTGAAAACGGCATTATATGACCTCGAGCCTCGAAACCTCCAAAATTTCTCAAAAAGCGTGGATATTAGCCTTAAATTTTGGAAATTTTGACTTTTATTCGTCCGTAACTAAAAATTGCCGAAATGTTTACCATGGTCTCTAATACAATTCGGGAGTCCAATTAGGTGGTTAGAACCATCCAATTTGTCTTTAAATGGCGAATTTACCGGTTTCAACTACCATTGATTTCATTAACTCAAGTCTACCACGAACATTTATGAAAACATATAATGATCATTTATGGTTTAAAACAGTATTATATATCCCTGAGATGTATCACCTAAAATCTCAAAACTTTTTGATACCAGACCCCAAAACCTAAAAATTTCTCAAAACGCGTGGATATTAGCCTTAACTTTTGGAATTTTTTGACTTTTTTTGCCGGAAAAAAAAATTGCCGAAATGTTTACCATGGTCCCTAGTACCCTCCGGTAGTCCAATTGGGTGGGTGGAACCACCAATTTTAGGGCAGAGCAAAACTACTCGAAAAACTGAAAATCCGAAAAACCGATCCGTAACCGTTCCGAAATTAGGGTACCAGATCCGATAACTATCATGGTTCGGGTTCCCGTTCCGATAATTTATTATCGTGTACGGTTATTGGGTATCATTTTAAAATTAACGGTTACCCGATCCAATAAGCATTTTTTTTCTCCTTTTTTTTCAACCTAAATATATTTTTTTTAAAATCTAAACTCTTACTTATACATCATAATTACTTTATAATATCAATGATTAGTAATATTATTAATAATTTTGTAAAAATCATATGATATTTTTTTTAGGGAATGATATTCTTGTTAATTAGTGGTAAATTATATCATAATAACTCCATA